TGAAATAAACCAGAGCCACCAACACCTCTTTCTCCGGTCTCCTCTATAACTAAACTTCAACTAACTGTCAGCTACGTCCATAACTTTTCTAATCACAACCATACTATGCTGGACATATGTTATCTGCTACTGCCAATAAGACTCTGTCCTCTCATCACTACATTATCATCATCATTATCATCTCTGCCTGACTTCGTGTCTTGCCTTCAACTGTGTATCCATTTAAAATCATCCACTCCTGCCAACACTATTTCTACCATCAAGCAGAAGAAAAATCAAAACAGGAATGTATCTCAACTGACAGTTCACAACTATCCTTCCGACGTCACAATTGAAAGCACCTCCAACTATTCAACGAACCTGAATCTGAGAATAAACCATATTCAAAATGAAGATATAGCAACTTACTTTTGATCGGAGATCACTTTACCTCCACAAGGCGTGACTGGCAAAAGTATTCCTAACATTCCACTTCCAGGTCCATTACACCACTTGCCACAAAGACTGAGAACGTTAAGTCCCAACAATAAACTCTTCTGGACGACAGTTGCCACTGTCACTGGCTATTCACTGGGGTCCTTGCCCTAGACATACATACATTTGGATGCTTTCCAGTTGGCCCTCCCAGGAACCAGAGATTTGAAATTCTTCAGCTAGGCCTCGTCTCCCCACAAAACTCCACCATTGTCCGGTAAATGCCTCAGAAAAACCTGTTGTGTACCGACAAACTACTCCATCTAGAACTTGGATCCAAAATATGTCTTCGCAGCACAACAGGACTTACAGATTTCCTCCAAGTAAAAACCATATTCAATCAGGATCTTGAACCTCAACACATCGGACCTGGAAATAAAGTGTAATATAATTAATAAAAGTAATCACAACATTTAGGGACAATATCATGGACTTTAAAATTTAAAATATATGTGTAACAGATACAGGAAGTAATCTAATTCTTTAACGGTGGGGAGCGTGTAATTGGAATACCTCCCTTACAAAATTTTGGACATTTCAAATGACATGACAATTTTACGTTATTACTTCAACAGAATCAACATGTGCATATATAATTCATAAATCATGAAACTGTTCTTACTTTAAAATTATTAACAATGATCAAATAGTGCTACCTTTTTAACAAATGGACTTATCCACGAAACAACACAACGTAAAACTTGAATATCAGCATTGTTACAGTTCCTTTTAAGAAGAGTATCACATTAGGATAGATAACTCTCGCACAAAAATGGTCAGATGACCCTAATTTATTTCCGGATGAATAATCTAAATAATTTGGAACATTTACAGTTACTATAATATATCACAAGTGAATATCTACAGACATTATTGGAAGATTCAGACGGCGCTTTCTTCTGTCATTTTCCATGTTTAAAAATGGCGGACACAGAACTTTGGAACTACTTATTTGTATTTCGGTCTGGCTTTTTATGAATGTATATTTGTTTACATTTAAACTTTCAGGATTTCTTATTTATGTAAAAATAATTGTAAGCCTGATTTGAGCCGGATGATTTTCTGTCTTTATCATATTTTATTAAGTGAGAACTGTATTTTATCTGCGTAATAGAATAACGTCTGCATATATTACTACGCTCGAGTATTTTGGACCGGCTTTTGTTAATATGTATTTTTAAATGTTATTTCAGATATGTTTATGTGGCTTTTCAATTAAGCCATATATGTGCTACTTATGTCTGTTAGAACTTTTATTGTTATTGCTATATTGTTAAATATTGTTAAAGACTGATCACTGGACCTAGTCTTGAGCCGGGATTTTCATTGGCTGGAGCACTCTTTGTAGCGTCCCAAAAGTTTATAAATAGGGGTGACTGTCGTCATTTGGCATCTTCTTCTCAACCGTAAAAAACTTGAGAAGTACCAAAGCAACAAAGCTTAAATTTTTTGAGCCTTAAGTCGTATTACGTCTGATTATATCTATATATATATATCCTGCAACCATTTACTTGCTTACTTATAAGGTATCTACTATATATTAGATAAATAATAACTTACCTTAATTTGCTGGTCGTTAAAGCTATCCAGTACTATCGTAAACAACAACAGTTTACTTACAGAAGTCTATTACAAATTCATTTGATGCTGAACCTAATATGAATTATCACGTTATGGCAGACTCTAAAAGATGTATTGGTCTTAGAAATTTCCAACATCCTGTCATACTTTACATTTATTTGTAACTAAATGTTCATAACCGAAGAAGATCCCATTGCATAAGCCTAGGTCCTCTATTGTCGAGTATTGTCAATGCCGGTATATATTCCATCGAAGAATTGTTAATGCCGATACTTATTCGTTTATATCGATAGATCTACGTCACAGAATAGATCCTAGTATCATATACTTATTTATTGAGATGCACTTGTTATATATGATGTCACATTATTAAATGACGTTTACATGTTAATCGAGTTACTGATGTCTTGTACCAGTCTCCTGTGTTACCAATGTAGGACTTACCTATATTTGTACACTCTATCCTAAGTAATAGGTTGTATAAATCCTGGTTATATAAATATCCTGACAAGATGACCAGATACTTACAAAGGATCCCTTGATGAAACTATGATGTCTCTATTATGATCTGAGCCTACCTCTTATGATGTACTACACAGATGACTAAGATGTGTTGAAGCTATGTCTGATGTTTAAAACAACAGCTACTTGTAAGTGTATGTAATATGGGGTAGAAGTATTGCCATACACTTACTAGTTAATACAGTGGCCGGTATCCTGATTAATAAGGATTTGGTAACTACCCTAGGGGGGTAGGTCCTTACAATATCAAAGTGAAGAAATGTATATCACTTTAAAAGTGTACAATTCGTGTGACTCTTTGCATATAAAGTTCCTTATTTCTACCATGTTACTAATACAATTTTAGCTATATCTTCAATATTTTGGCATTTAAGTATATCAAATATCTTATGCTATATTTTATCACTTTATTTATTTTATTTGATAAAAGTTAAATTTATGAAATATAAGACTGTGCTTCTTTGATTTATATAGAAAAATAATTTATCAACATGAATATATAAGGCAAGTAAACTTATTTAAAAGTAAGAAGTTAATTCGGTCAATTTTAGAATATGAAACTGTTATGTTATACTTTGGTACATTTCACACCATGAAGCATTTTCTTCAATTTATTGGAAGATAAGATTAAGCAATAAGGAATATATTCTGTGAAGGAGTCTCCGTTTAACTCAACTATAAATATATGCTTCTGATACAGTTCGATACTTCAATAAGTGAATAATAAATAGTGTATCATTTTTAAATGCATAATCTTGGCAAAATAAAAACAAAATATATAAAAATATTTTATTGTTGCACAGTTTTCTTCATAAATTTTATCAATGGAAGTTTTGCACTTACGTCATTTTCACATTTTTTTTCTTTTTTTTTCTTTTTGATTTGTTAAGAAAATATTCTTTTAGTTCGTTTAAATATGATTTAATAACTTAACAAACAAGGACAAGTTAAAAGATTGTGTTAATATTTGTAATCGCATTTTTCTCATCTATCAATGCTTTACACACAAGATAACACTTAGTAGTATTTGTTAAAGGTGTACACAGTAGAATCTTATCAAGCAATAAAACAAATAAATTTCTCACAGTAACATAATCATTAAGGGGTTTCTGTAAGGAGTTTATATATGAAAGATATTAAAATTAGAACATAATGGCTTTCATTAGTTTTACGGTATAAACGATATTTTGATAATTGTGTGTTGGACATTGTGGGTTCGATGAAATAAAGTCATTTAATGCAGCGATACAGCCTATCGGTATGAAGTGTATTAAGTGTAAATCTTTTCATAAAATCGAATGTCTATCGTTTATCTTTTAATAAACTTTATAAAAGATGCGTTTCTGTTATCTTTTTTTTGCCATTGATTTATTGTTTTATTAGTGTTATCGTCGTTATAATTATAAATAATAATTACTTTTATCATCATCATCATCATCAACATCATCATAATTATCAACATCATCATAATTATTATTATTACTGTTGTTATTTTTTTTTTTGTTTTTTTTCTGGGGGGGGGGTTGTGGGGTGTTCTTGTTGTCGCTGCTGTTGATTGTTGTTGTTGTTGTTGCTGCTGCTACTGCAGCTGCTAATGTTGTTGTTGGTGGTGGGGTTGTTATTGTTTTGTTGTTATTGATGTTGTTGCTGATGCTGTTATGCTGTTGTTATTGAAGAGAAAAATGTTATAAACTAAACTTGTGATTTACTTTATGACACTACTTTTGTGAGGGCGTTGAGGATAAAATAAGCCGCGTCATGACAAAACCAACATAATGGGTTTGCGACCAGCATGGATCCAGACCAGCCTGCGCATCCGCGCAGTCTGATCAGCATCCATGCTGTTCGCTATCAGTTTCTCTACTTGTTATAGGGTTTGTAAGCGAACAGCATGGATCCTAATCAGACTGCGCGGATGCGCAGGCTGGTCTGGATCCATGCTGGTCGCAAACCCATTATGTTGGTTTTGTCATGGCGCGGCTCAAATATGTTTAAATTGACAATGAATGTAAATTGTTTTACTGTTCAGTAGTTAGTAGTTATTTGTTTTGTTGTTTTTATGTTTCATATTAGATTTTGATGTTTTCTTCTTTTTCTTCTTCAAGAGGTTGTATGACAATTTTCACGAAGCCAAAAAAAGGAGAAATCATATAACTTGATTCGATAAGCCACTTTGATCATAAACTTGTATAAAATAATTAATTTTATCGTGTGATAAATACTTGTGAAACACATTGAAATGTGATCACACTAATTGAAAATAGTTCCAATTTCTTCATTTGAAATACAATTTCTCAAACACAAATGAACTACAAATAAAAGATATTTATTTATACATTGCATTGAAGTGAAAATATGCACTTGAGCATTTACAGAAAAAACTGTGTATAAATGGTACATAATTATACATTCTTTAACATTAGGACCAACGTCTAGTACTCCTACATCTTCAACAACAACAACAACAACAACAACACCAACAACAACAACCAGCACAAGCACATCTGCGGCAAACACAATGTCGTCAACCACGGAATCGACAACTGCGACAAGCCTCATCAGCACCGAAAACAATTCTCCGTTGTTGTGTTATTGTCATTGTACTGCCTCTGGAATAACACTGACAGAGGAACAGTTAAAGGTTTAAGTATTTATACTTTGACTTGATTGTAAAATATGTTCTAGAATATTCATTAAAGAGCTATTCATTAAAGTATTTCGATATTTTAGAGTTTTTTTATCCTGTCATGATTTGCTATTTTCAAACGCAAGATTAAACATTTAAATATTTGATAAAATGCATGTAAAAAAATAACAAAATTATCAAACTTTGTATCAGGCCCTAAGTTGTGCCTGTTCGGAAGATTTTCAATTGTCCTTTCTTGATTAGGAAATGCAAATTTCTCTTTCATTGATATTCATTCTTCATTTCAAAGGACAGGATAGACGAAATAAGACGCAATCTAACAGTAAATGTTTCAAATCTTTCTTCAAGAATTCGGAAGCTGACAAGTGCCGAGGACAAACGTGTATCTGCTGTAAGCATTGGATATGTCGGTGTTGGGATATTGGTAGTGATCTTTTCTGCAATAGTCTTTATAGACTCATCACTACTTCATAAAGATATGAGAAAACTGTTAGACAACATTAAGAATGCAGCTTGTTGTAAAAAGAAAGATACATTGATAAAATGATGCATTCCTGGTTTAGTTTAAACATATTTTATTCCTTTCAATTTTTTACAATATGTACAATGCAAATATATAGAAAGAAAAATATATAAATACATATATGCATTCCTGGTGCATTGTGTAAAGACCTTTTATCTCTTTACACTGTCATTGGACAAAACAAATTAACATGACATTGTGACCACAAAATTAACATGTTTAAAATAATAAACATCCTGATTAGAAACGGTAAACCTCAAAATATAAATAATTAATATCAATATAGAAAATAACTAGTTTGAACTTGTTGCATCGTTGTCATAAATGTTGGTAGCGTTATTTTTCTTTCTTTTATCATTATTTAACATAAGATTCAAGATTTTATTTTCAAAACACCAGAAGGTCATAGACCCATGTGGCCAACATTTACATACTATATATGGCTACAGCAATTTAACATTTAATAATAATAATTACATATTCAAACATGCATACATACACACATTACACACATATAATATATATATATATATAAGTACATGAACGCTCATAAATTTGCATATATACCATCTACACATATGTATACACATATATTTTCGCATATGTATAAGCACTGCTACATGCAACCCGTTTTTTTAATAACATTGATATGCTCCAACATTTTTTTGTAACATAATAGACAGAATAAACATTTTAATATTCAATACACTTGTATGTGCATATACAGCATAGTGCAGTAAAGTAAGTAGTAGTAAGAAAAATGATTCCATATCTAGTCACAACTTGCTCGAAAACGAAAGTGGAAAGTTGGTGACCAATATGGATTTTATTTCAAAAATTTTAAAACATAAATGTACAATATCAATCGGACATAAAATAAATACGAATTCTTATTCTATTTCCAGTCAAAACTTGCACAAAAGCGAAACTAGCAAGTTGATTGACATATGGATTTACTATAATTTTACATAATGAGATTACATTTTTCAAAGCTAAGTGACAAACAATGAAGGCATATAAGAGTCATACTAACAAAATTCACATCATTACATATTGAAAAATCAGTTTAAGAATAGTTAACTCTGTAAAGTTCGTTTGTTCTTAATGTAAATGCTTTTTCTACATATGTACTTAAATTTCTTATGACACGCTTACATTCTGTAGTAATTAATTCAACAAATTTTTGCATATTTGGTCGTCTGTAATAATAGGCTGGTAAAAATTGTCTTCTCAAATCATTATATAAAACACATTCTAAAACAAAATGATATTCGTCTTCTAATTTATCGCAAAAAGTACATTTCCGTTCATTTACTGGAGTGCTAACAGGTCTAGTCCATCGGCCACTTTCAATAAAAAGTCTATGTGATGATACGCGTAATCGTGATAAACAAACACGGAATTTTTTAACGTTTACCAAATCAAGATATGGTTGAAATCTGTGGTTTAAAATGTATTTATCAAACAGAGCTATACTTGAGTTATTTAGTCTACCAGACCAGTTTCGTAAAAAGTGATCCTTTAATCTTTGTTTCACATTATATAAAAACAGTTCAGAGTCTCCAACAGTCTGAAATAACCATACTTCATAAAAACCAAGAGTACAAAATAAATCTTTCAATAATGAACACCAATTTATTCTGTTTGGATTTTCAATAATATCTTGTTTTAACATTAAATACACCTTCTTAATATATTTGTTTTCATCTGTAGCCAAAATTTTATAATGTTATAATATCTCATATTTTGCAAAGGCATTCTTCCTAATTCACCATAAATAAAGTCGTTTTGTGTGTTTTTCTTTACACCTAATAGTCTTTTGCAAAATTGCATATGTAAACGTTCTACGGCCTTGCCTTGATTAAAACCCCATACTTCACTTCCATAATTTAAAATAGGTAATATCATTTTATCGAAAAGATCCAATTTATGCCTTACAGATATATCTGTGAATTTATATAAATATTTATCCATTTTGAAAATGCCCTTTAGTGCTTGCCCAGCAATTGTATTTTGTGCTTCAGAAAAGGAACCACCTGTAGTGAAAACAATACCAAGATAAACAAATTTACTAACAATTTCAACCATATTACCATTATAATAAAAAGTGACATTTGCGGGTAAACGTCCGCCTTTTCTAAACACCATTACTTTGGTTTTGGCAGTATTAACTATCATTTTCCATTTCTTACAGTAATCTAGTAATAGATCTAAACCATTTTGTAATTCTAAACTATTATTTGCAAATATAACAATATCATCAGCATACAGTATCAAAAACATTTTAAACATATTAACATCAATACCTTCTAGACCCTTTTTAATAAACATATCTTCTATATCATTTATAAACATGGAAAATAGAAAAGGTGAAAGACATTCACCCTGTCTAACGCCTAAAACACATTCAAAACTATTACTTAACTCATTAAAACACTTAACTCTTGATTTAACACTCGAGTACATCGATCTAATAATATTTAAAATATTTCCTCTTATTCCAAGTTGTATCAATTTTGCCCATAGATTATCTCGATTAACATAATCAAATGCTTTACTAAAATCTATAAAAGCACAATATAATTGCTTACCACTATTAATAATATGATTAATAAGACCATGTAAAACAAAAATATTATCAACCGTGCCTAATTTTGACCTAAAACCCGCTTGAGCCTCTATATACACACCGTAGTTTTCTGCCCAGTTTTTTAACCGATTATTTAACAAACGTGTGAAAAGTTTACCTAATGTACTTAAAAGGGTTATACCTCTGTAATTGTTTTCATCATTAATACTACCTTTTTTATGTAATGGAACAACAAATCCTTCTGACCAATTTTCTGGAAAATAACCTATTTCAAATATTCTGTTAAATAACTTCAACAAGATAGGGACTAATATATGTTTACCATGCATAAATAATTCATTGATATATAAATCCGGGCCGCCGGCCTTATTTGGACTTAATTGATTAATAGCTTGCAATAAACTGTCTGTCGAAAATGGTATGTTTAACTCATTAAACATAACATTAAACTCATCTGTTTCATATCTGTTTATAAAATGCAAAATATCTTCATCTGGACTAAAAAAAACGATCATCGGGATTTATTTACCGATTTAAAATATTGTTCAAAAATATCAAGTGAAATATTTGTGTCACTAACACCAGCACATTTTTTTTAACATTTTCCAATAAAGTTTTGCATTTGTGTATTTTGCATTGACTAGCTTTTCAGTTTCATATTTATCATATCTATATCTAGCATTTCTCAAACAAGATTTATACTCAGACCTGGCTTTAACCATACTCTGCCTATTTACGTCTGATTGATCATTTCTATACAAATTTAAGGCCGCATAAAACAATCTGCGTTTCTCGTCACATTCTACAGAGTACCAAGACTGGCCTGAGTCAACACTATTAACAGAGACTATACGTTCTGTTCTACATTTAAATAAAGGGGTGACAACATCATCAACAATATTGGTGAATTCATTTAAACAAGAATCAATATCATTGTTACACATACAATTGTCAATATTCTGCATAAAAACATCAAATTTCGATTTAGTATCGTGTGCAGACAGCCGCTCTATATATTCTCCGGCTTTCTCATTATACCATGTATATTTATAATTTATATTCTCATTCTTATTTACATTATTTGTAAAATTTAAATTATCTGGCTTTTTAAATATAAAAGAGAATTCAATTTCACAGTGATCAGACAGTATGTTAACATAACATTAAATCGATTTGTATTAGAGATTTATTGGCTTTAACTATTTTTGTTCATGGTACTACTTTGCCTTTGATGTTGTGTTTGATGTATGTATACATTTTTTATTGCCAATAAACGTCACAGATAAAAACACTTATCCGATGTTATTGCTACAAAATCTATATCTAAATTTTAGAGTTTTAATATTTTTCTCGTTATCATATTCATGTTATTTTCATATTGAAAATAATTAAATGTTTTCTTATCTAAAATATGCAAAAGTCATTCCTTGAAAAATTAAATGCCGATATTGAACTTTTTATACAATTGTTCGATTTAAAGAAAAACTGCATATTTTGGCTATGTTTATTATGTGAAATATTCATATGTAATTGTCCATGTTATAATTTGCCCCGATATTGAACCATCATTTAAAATAAAAATATATACTAGTAATTTAGATTTCCCCATTTTATAACTAATGAACTAAAATAATAAAATTTTAATTATGAATCAAACTTCCAATTACCTCAGTTGATATAAATGAATTAGCATTACATTATATGCTGTTTAAATAAGGTAAATACATGTACAACTAAATAAGTAATAAGTTTATGATTGACATCTTGACGCAGGTTTTTCATTGACAGCTCATAGTCAGCTGGCGTATCTTCCTTGTTGTAAAACGCCTCAAGAAAAACTTGATAAATTTAACTAATATCTAATTCAAGTTTCCCATTCTTGTAACACTGCTAAATACATATAATTCTCTTTAATCTTAGAAAAATATGAATGTGACTATTAAACACTTTCATGTGCTAATACATATAATTGTAATTTCGACGATTTCATTAAGTAATGCATTTACAAGTAATGATGTAATCCGCGGAACAAAATTTGGACAAATACGTGGATTTAAAAGTTTTTCTTCCCAGACATTTCTTGGTATACCTTACTCAGCTCCATCTAAAAGGTAAGATGGATAAAAGAAAAAGAATATTAATATATTTATTATAAATTTGAAATCACCACGGACGAATTGTTACATCAAAGTAAGAAATTATACGCACATTTGTTAATGTTTGTTGTATATGCAATTGTTTTATGTCTTTCTGATAAATCTAAAACTAATTGACACTTAAAATTGCTGTCCGGTTTTCAGAGGATTTTTTATGCCTGTTTAGCATTAGAAACCATAGAAAATTGTCCGGTTTTCGGAATTCAGTGGTTCCGGTATTCAGAGGATTTTTTTTCAATGAACTTATAAGGAGAAAATACGGGACTTTTATAAAGGTACGGTTTTCAGAAGATTCCGGTTTTCAGAGGGTCCGGTTTTCAGAGTTTTTACTGTACTCATATACAAACCTATAAGCTCTTTTAAAATATTCATGATGACTGATAATACATGTAATAAACATATTATCTATTTAATCATTTTTATCCAATATGTTTACTTTCTTGTACATTGAATAAAGTCACCATTCTGTATAATTAGATTTTTTTTATAAGTATCGTATAACGTTTATTTGCTTTACATTCAAACATTTAAACATAAAATGATATGTGTTTGTGTCATTTAATTAATGTTTCGAGAGATTAATGTAATGTTCCATTTGATGTAGGTCAAGACTAATAACTTGTGTGCAAAAGTTCAGATCATTTGCTCGTTCAGTTTTCCAGAATAATTATTCTAATTGTGAAAATGACCCAAATTAGAAAAGCGTTAAAACGCTTCTTACTTAAATAGCGCGAAGAATAGCACAAACATACGACATTCGATTTATTTCTTAGTATATTTCTAAGTTATTCTTTGCAGATCCTTTTATTTTAAATGCCACAGTTGATCTTTGTAAGAAATCAAAAGTTAACTGGTTTCCTTATTTGGACCTCAGTGGAGTTCCTTTAAATAAATAAATAAATAAATAAATAAATAAATAAATAAATAAATAAATAAATAAATAAATTTAGATAATAAACTGTACATACCACTTATTTCTAAAATGTAGATGGAGGCACCCCAGATCACCGTCCCCGGGAAAAAACTCTTTAAAGCACAAGGTTAAAAAATGTGTTCCAAAACCGAAACTGCGTTAAAAGAATCCTGGAAAATTTGTCTTTCCGAGGTTTTTTTTTAATTAATGCAAATTTAGTGGAAAAAGCGTAAAAATGTTTGTTTTTAAAGTCGAAGTGCTTTAGAAGTAATTGTAATAAAGTTGCATAGAACGCATTGCCTAATAAGACAGTAATGAATAAATTGCCATTCAAGCTGAAAAAAACAACAAGTAAAATTATTATCATGACTATTCAAAAGTATGGAAGGAATTTGAAATAACGAAGCAGAGAGACATTAAAACGCAACCCCTATAATACACAGAGCACACAGGTCCATCTAAGGCGGTAAGGCACCAAGCAGGTAAACGAATATAAAGGAGGATACAAGAGCGGGCAAACTGGCATGGTGGCGCAACAATTACTGCAGCAATTAATAGGTTTAATTGTGAACTTTTTATTTCCTTTATGAAAATTATAATGAAATATTCTATTTGAAAATATTTCATTCTTTACTAACCATCAATTTGCCTAAAGTATTGATCCATATAGATTTCTTATTACTCAACGCCATGGTTTATCTATGTACAAAAGTTTTATAGGGAAAGAGCAATTTTTGAAGTTTTCATAGCTTTCTGCCTATTTCTTACATGTTGTAAATTTTGTCCCCCTATTTGCAACGTTTAAAAATGTTTTCCAAAATTTACCCCTGTTTTTAGGGGGTCAGAAGTTTGGGTTTGTATTTGAATATTTTATGCCCCACAGACCCCCAAAATTTGGGCCCAAAAAAAGGCCCTTTATGTTTTTATTACGGGGGCGGGTTTCGGGGTTTTCGGGTGGGCGGTGCTGATTTTTATAAGGGGCCGAGGCTTTAACAGTAAAGGAGAGGGTCATCGTTTTTCCCGAAAAAACTATAGACGGGAATTTTGTTTTTTAAAATAGTTTAAAATGATAAAATAAAACGTTCTTTGCACCCCTTGCATTTGTCTAAAAAAAATTTGGGAAAACCTTTGGCCTTTTTTTTTCACAATCCCCCTAAAGCCTTTTCTATTTTTCCCAAAAGTTTCGAAGATTTCTTTTCCCCTTTTAAGTGATGTTGTTTTTGACTGAATCAGTCAGCATTTGAGCAGTTCTATCTTAAACACGTTACATCGGTATAAGTGAATGCATTTTTAATAACATTTATGATCTTGTATCCTATAATGCTGAACCAGGATATAGCATTGCAGTACCGTTTTATTCCAAAACAGCTTTGTAAAATTTTCAGCTTTTTTGACATTGATATACAAATGGTATATTGAACAATACGAAATGTCTTCTTTTTTCATTTATACGAGATGCATACGAGTATATGACCGTTTAAAATACGTATTACTTACTCTCATTACTTTGATTTTTTGTTTAAAGTGTAAAATCGTTTTTAAAAATTTACAGGAGCGTTTGGATTTCTAGTGACTGGAGTTGGCAGCGATGATATAAATGGTAACTTTGGTATATTAGACCAGATCCAGGCGCTGAATTGGGTGCACGAAAACATTGGAGTGTTTGGGGGCGATAATAACAGGGTATTTTAGTTGCCTATTTCATTTCAATATTAGAAGTTATTTGTTGTCGTTTTTTTTACTGAAAAACTGGTTAAATTCACTGAGATTTTAACTCTTTCGTTTGGATTCGACATTTTTAATGTTAACACCCTGTCCCTTTAGTTTAAAAAGCTTAGTGGTTTTATGCAGCTATTAGTTTGTGTTTGAAATGTATTCTTGAATTTATCCATAGAAGTTTTATCTACAACAACAACAAAGTTGTCATATAGTCTCTATCTGAAATGAATATAAATTTGAACATAATATTACATATGTTAACAATGAGACAAAGTACTAAAACAGTAAACTTTGTACCAGCACTGACTATAAATATTACTTTATATATACTTTTTATTTTAGATAACGTTGTTTGGTCAAAGTGCAGGGGCTCTGTCGACGGCTATTCACATGACGTCACCCAATGTTGCACCTTTGTTCAGCCGAGTTATAATTGAAAGTTCACCATTTACTATTCCACTGAAGCCATTAGATATCGCTATTACCCAGGGCAACGAATTCGGAAGTCTCTTAAACTGCACTGCGGGAAACGTTTCATGCCTTATGTCAAAATCTGCAAATCAAATAGCGTCTGCACAGGGCAAATATTTCCAACAAGCATTGTTTTCTGACAGCTATCTCCGAAAGTTTTTGCCATGGACTCCACATATTGATGGAACAATAATCAAACAAGGTGTAATGGAAGCTTTCATAAATGGGGCGTATGCCCCTAAACCAGCAATACTTGGTAGCACATCAGAGGAAGGTCAAATGTACATATATCTCGGGTTTGGCAAACCAATGTCAGCATTGGAGTATCGACTTCTTCTATTTGGTGTCAGGCCAAAGCAGTCAACTGAGGTTTATAAAATGTACAAACCAGAGCTGAAGTCTGATGCAAGATCAACATTGACTGAACTCACTACAGACTTTGTGTTCTATTGTCCAGCCAGAACTGTTGCCCGTTCTATTTCACGGTTTGCACCTGTATACACATACGTGTTCAATAACAATATTTCAATGCCATCAGTTTGGAATCACCTCAATCATTTGGTTATAGGGGCAAGGTAATGCCATGGTGTAGAACCTTTCCGTTTGTTTTTCAATTCTGCACGAAAAGAACCATGGGGGTATTTCCCGCAAAATGAGTTCCTTTTTCAGATTCAATGATCTATAACTATTGGACCAATTTTTGCAAAAAAACCGGAAATCCGAATAATTTTCAGATTTTACAGAACACTTGGTCCTAGCGCACCCCTCAAATATGGCTTCCTTAATAAGGAAAGGGGGTATTATTCAGAGCTTTCAATGGTTCTGAATGAAAATGGAAATTATACTTACCCAAGGGTCATAAAAATTTGATAAATGTAGAATGTGGGATCAGGGGGAATATAAAGCTAAAAAGTAACCTGCAAAGACAGCCTAAGCATTTAACGACTTTTGTTTTTGTGAACATGTTTTTGTGAACATCTATTTCGATACTGTTATTTTAAGACTATTGTCTTTTTGCTATTAAAACTATATTTATTTCTTAATAAACAGCTTTGTATTACATTGTTTGTTCTGTACGATTTCAATATTTCACAAATTTTTACAAAAAAAGTTCAATTGACGACTCAACCGTTGAGAATCAACAAACCTTTAGTGCAAAATATGTAACATGCACGCATGCTTTTCGCACACACAAACTTCCGTCGTAATGTAGAATTTCTTACGCGGAAATCATACATAATGTAGTAGAAGTTAACTGGTTATATAGGTCGTTTGGTCATTTAGCTGTTGAGAATTTCAAACAGATACACTCTTATAACATTGTTATGTCATGGGTATAAGAACGACATAAAGAAATGTGTTCTAACAACGTTTATCATTCTAGTAAATACTTGATTTGATTAACACAGCCGCAGATAAATGCTTGCTTTGATTAATACAGTCACAGATAAATACTTGCTTTGATTAACACAGTCACAGATAAATACTTGCTTTGATTAACACAGTCACAGATAAATACTTGCTTTGATTAACACAGTCACAGATAAATACTTGCTTTGATTAACACAGTCACAAATAAATAATTGCTTTGATTTATACAGCCACAGATAAATACTAGCTTTGATTAACACAGGAAAATAAATAATTGCTTTGATTAGCACAGTCACAATTAAATAATTACTTTGATTAACACAGCACAAACAAATATTTGCTTTGATTAACTCAGTCACAAATAAATATTTGCTTTGATTAACACAGTCACAAATAAATAATTGCTTTGATTAACACAGTCACAAATAAATATTTGCTTTGATTAACACAGTCACAAATAAATAATTGCTTTGATTAACACAGTCACAAATAAATACTTACTTTGATTAACACAGCACAAATAAATAATTGCTTTGATTAACATAGTCACAAATAAATACTTACTTTGATTAGCACAGCACAAACAAATATTTGCTTTGATTAACACAGTCACAAATAAATAATTGCTTTGATTAACATAGTCACAAATAAATATCTACTTTGATTAGCATAGACACAAATAAATATGTGCTTTGATTAACACAGACACAAACAAAATATTTTAATTTGTAGAATAATATTTCCGAAAAACAAAAGAAAGAAAAACGCCTTGAAGATGTTCTATTAAGTATATACATGTATGAAAATCATTAAAAAAGAAAAGCATTTATCATTTTAATAATAAATAAATTTGACTTATCTTAAGGTAACTTAATATATACTTTAAACTGATTGAATATCAGGTACGATTGAAGATAACTTGAAAATCAAAATGTTTAAAACTTGTGCATACTAAAGTCTTGTCCCCGACATATGATAAAGTGTAAAGCTTGTTACCTTCCTGATTGAAACGCTATTATGAGACCCAAAATACCTAGTTAATTATTGATAGAAGTAAATTAGATTCGAAAATTTGTCGTTAAATATGAATAAACGATCAGTAAATCACTGCATTGGCACTGTGCGGCTCAAGGAAACATGAACCGTCTGAAGGACACTTTTTCGTTGGTTTCTTTGCTTGTTTCTTTTGTGTTTTTTTTTCTTTTTATTTTGTGGTTGTCTTTTTTCTCGACCCAAATACATGCACTTAGGTGTATCATCACTCATGCACGCGGTACCTTCTTATTTTTTGCACCGAGTCCCGAAACCGAGCTGCTCGTGTCCGGGGTTACTAATACCAAGCTCTGACGCCAATTTCAAGTCAAGGGAAGCAACCTTGATGACATATATAGAGAGTGAGCACTTTGTTGTATCCCTTATGTTGGTACATGTATCTATTAACTAAACAGATCGTTTTAGTGGAACATATTTAAGAAAAAGAATTTGAAATTTATATCGTGATAGCATCAAATAAGATATATAATTGAGCCGTGCCATGACAAATATGATAAACAAGATCAACAAGGAAAGGTCGTGAAAAACCAACATAATGGGTTTGCGACCAGCATGGATCCAGACCAGCCTGTGCATCCGCGCCAGTCCCTGATCAGGAATCCCATGATTTGTTTTTCGCTTACCAACCCTAATTACAAGTAGAGAAACTGATAGTGAACACGCCATGGACCTGATTGCGCAGCTGGTCTGGATCCATGCTGGTCCGGGCAAACCCATTAGTTGGTTTTGTCAATGACGCGGCCTTATATTTTAAATGCTGGACTTGTCTTTCTTTTAATACATGCCGTCTGTTGCCAAGTTCCCCTCGCGCTTTCTTATACGAGAATAATTGAACAGGTCGGCTGCGTATACGCATACATGTTCGTAACGGTAAGGATTTTGCTTTTAACTAAGAACATTGTTTTAATTCTCTTTTAGATAAAGCACGATAACTTACAAGACTTGATTGACGTTACCCTTTGTGACCGATTGACGTCTTTAATGGTTATCTCGGCCCAAACTACCCAGCAACATCAAGGAGGATCCGCAACTTTTTTCTTCTGGTTTAGCCCTATGTCGTAACAGGTAAGGCTGAAAATTTGTTCCAGAAAATGTTATTTTGTCCTCGGTTTACTACGAAAAATCTTTGGCACTTTCCGGCTTGAGTTCAATTACCGAATGACCTTGTACGGCGTGTCTTGTAAAACCTTCTTGACGGCGTCTAGAGAAAACCGGTCTCAGCAGATAGCGGACCGGTTAAGGAAGCAAGTGCCGTCTGGTGGACATGTTTTTTTCCCGGCCGGATTACAAGCAGATACAATGTATTATCACTCAGTTTCTCTTCTTCAATGATTTCGGGAGCCCAGCTAGAGCCATTTGCCCTTATACCGATGTGTCCTTTGTCACTGTGCAGCGGTACAAAGATACACCGACGGTCTGACGAACTTATAAAGTGTGTGAATGTAGGGGGGGGGGGGGGGTGAGGGGTGCCGCGCGTGCGTGCGTGTGTGTGTGCACATTTGATGATGCTGTTAAACCCATTACACTACACTATTTTATATGAATTAACTCGTGTTTTGTATATTATTGAAAACTCTTATAAAAAATGTATTGTGGCAATAAACTGCATATAAAACTCTAAATTAAGTATATCTTGGTGTTTACAAAATCTCTGCAAATGATATGTTTGGTAAAACTGGGGGGAGATCAATAAGGTAAAAGACTTCAGTGTTACCCGTTTCAGTGACAGTACGGGTGTTAGCCAGAACCTGATAGAGTTACCCATTATCTGTAAATATTATTACTCAGTCAACAAAATATTTCAGTAGGCTTAAAATTATATGCTAAACCAACTTATCTTCATTAAACTAGAAAACTTAACTTAGATCTAACCACGGATAGTGATCTTACCCATTAGTGCATCGAGCATTTTGGTAAAAATTTGGCTATTTTCATTGAAAAAGGGCCTCCTGTTTTCATAAATATTTTATCAAAACTTGCACAAAGTTTGACTGGACCCATATCCTTTGTAAACTGCATGCTCAATCTTAATTTCCTGTTTACCATGGCATCCGAGGGACATCAGGGCATCTTAATTGCCAAAAATCAATATTTTGCGTTGATTTTTTTCCATCAAAACTGATTTCAAAGTGCCTTAATTCTGGTCGACCTAAGGCCAATTTTAGCCTCTCGCAAGTCCAAAATCTTCCTGATCCTTAAAGACCTATTGTTTAATCGTATATAATTAGTGGCTTCACCTATCCGGTGTTCCGAAATGTATCCCCTACATGCATTGAAATAATCTGCCCATTACAAATTATAGGAAACTTGAGAACATATACTGGTTGGAGACCACCAAAATCCGGGCAAACCATCAAAAACCCGGACGGCACCGAAAAAAGCTTAACTTAGTTTTTATTGTTCAGTGGTTTTCAATCTATCAGTCTTTTATTATCAACATGCATGTTTCTTTCTATGTTTTAATTAAAATTTATTTCAATTCCGTAAACGGTAATATTTTATTGTCCATACGCTGAAAATTGGGGTATCAGGAGTGCAAATACCCTGACCTCATATACCACCTATAATCATTGCCAGAGTTAACAAAAGAATATACCAAAATTCATTCATTTGCTGATGATATATTTTTCATCATGTTAAAAATAAAAAATTAAAACACCCAAGCTTTTATCTGAATTAAATCACGGCAAGTACAAATCCGTCCGGACACATGGTAATGTAGTGTGGACAATTAAGGTAATTTTGATACCCTCCTTCATATGCCTTAGACTTAAGTGTCAATATAATCAGAAATAAACAAACTAGTTTGTTAGTTAGAAGAAGAACAGGATAGCTGTACTGTGTCAAATTTTCAGGTCTCTAGTTTTGAAATTATGAAACTGTAAAAAAAATGTTCAAAAAGTGTCGGTTGATGGTCCCTGACCAGTAAAGTTTATATTGAGATATCATTTTTATGACCTCTTTTTTATTATATCTGAATTAAATCACGGCAAGTACAAATCCGTCCGGACACATGGTAATGTAGTGTGGACAATTAAGGTAATTTTGATACCCTCCTTCATAGGCCTTAGACTTAAGTGTCAATATAATCAGAAATAAACAAACTAGTTTGTTAGTTAGAAGAAGAACATAGCTGTACTGTGTCAAATTTTCAGGTCTCTAGGTTTGAAATTATGAAATCTGTAAAGAAAAATGTTCAAAAAGTGTCCGGTTGATGGTCCCTGACCAGAAAAGTTTATATTGAGATATCATTTTTATGACCTCTTTTTTATTATATCTGAATTTTTGTTTTCTTTAAACTAGCTAGGTAAAGGACTCTTTTGCTTACCAGTTACGTGGTTTTCATTTACTTTATCTCCCTTATTCACTTATTTAAAATAACTTAATAGATCTATATAAATATTAGATTTTCCATTATGTTCTGCTCTGCTCTGCTCTGCTCTGCTCTGCTCTGCTCTGCTCTACTCAATCTATTCCATTCCATTCCATTCCTTTCTACAGCCTCTCTACCTGCTAACGCACAAAATAGATTAATATAATTTCAAAATTATTATAGATTCTACCACTTATGAACTAGGAAAAATCATCCAGTTGCGGCGTTCCATAACAGGTCCTTTTAAATCTCGCGCGCGCGCAGAAAAGGAAGTTGACAGTTTTCGTAAACAAGAAAAGACTAGAAAATTTGCGGGAACTTTTTTAAATTTTAACTTTATATTTATAAGTTAAACCTTTTGACAATTAAAATTTTTAGATTTTTATCCTTTTTATCGATTAACTTTAAAAATTTCCCTTGTTTTTATATTTGGGAAAATTAAAATTTGTTAGTTTTCGCGATAAACAGAAAATTCAATTTATGTGGTCAATTGGTTATCGGTTTTTTGTCAGGCAAAAAAATAATTGATAGATCCCTTTTCAATTTTTTTTTTTTATAAAAAGGGTTAAAACCTAACATTTTACCATGTCTCTTTTGTAAAAATCATTTGTGGGGGAAATTCTTATTTTTCCCCAAAATTTATAATTGAAAATTTACAGGGAGGGGTTATAGATGGGGTTATTTGGGATTTGAATGTATGTCTAAATGCAGCAATATATTGGAAACAAAAAGCTCAAAATATTGCCAATATTTTTATTATTATTGGTTCATCCAGAGACATAGATAGGAATGTCAGACGTTTCACTCCCAAGACGTTTCACTATTGAGACGTTTCACTCCCAAGACGGTTCACACCTAGACGTTTCACTCCCATTTTGTCAATTGTATGGACGTTTCACTCCCAATTTTTAGATGTTTACTAGGAAAGTTGACAAATTTTAATTTCATTAATATCAAACATTGTAAAAAGGAAATTCAATTTAATGTTTCATTTTGTTGATTTCAATGGTATTGTTAATACAAATTATTAGAAGATTACTCATTTAATTATGGGTTGAGTGATAAGAGGTGTAAATGAAAGACAAATTTCTTCAATATCACTTTGATTTTTTTTTGTAAGTCTTAAACAATGATATGCGAAACATGTGTATAAAATATATTATGTTTTTTTAATTATTTTCTTCATTAATTTATTAAACAGTAGCCAATAAACTAACTTATGAACAGAACAGAACAGTTCTCTGTTCTGTTCTTTACAAACTTAAGTCATTTTGGTGTTATCTCATCGCCTAATTAGTTGTATAAACACTGAGACAATCAACTTACAGTTTGACACCACGTTTAAATCAGTTGTATAAACACTGCACTTAAGCATCAACAGTTTACTAATCAGTGGTTTATTGGACCATTAAACTATTTTTTGACAACAGCCAATTTAAACACAGAAACTTCTCCATAAGTTTTGTTTATATAAATAAATGAATTTTAGTCACAAAAAATGATTATACATGACAAATATGAAAAAGTCCCAATGCTTCTAATTTAATTTAAAGATATTTCTGATTTCAATGGACATTAAATTTTTTTACATAAATGTATATCGCAAAAGCACTACTGTATAGTATACAAGCATTAAATAATTTAACATTTTTTATCCCATCATCATGTTTAAAATTAACAACAAAAACACACGTTACTCAAAGTTAATTGTTGTCACGACATTGTTATGCTTTCAATTAAAATTGCCTATTAAGTCCATTTTTACAAAAGATCAAATAATTAGTTATATTAAAGTGTTATTTTAATCAAAAATATTTTTTCCTTAAGTGAAATAATGTGATAATTGCACATATGGATCAAAGAATAGAAAAACACCTTATTTCATTACAACAATAAAGAAGATAAAATAACTGAAATGATAGAACTTAAGGTAATGAGTTTTAAGCCATTGAAAAAAAGTGAAATCCCCATTTTTAATTGATTAAATTTAAGGGTCTATTTTAGTTCAATTCAATATTTTATGTCTATTTTAGCATATCATAAGTATCAAAATAATTTTGGTATAAAAAGGGAGTGAGACGTCTTCAAGACGTCTTCAAGACGTTTCACTCCCATTTGGGAGTGAAACGTCTTGGTGTGAACCGTCTTGGTGTGAACCGTCTCAATAGTGAAACGTCTGTCTACCCATAGATAACATCTCTGGCAGCAGAAAGAAGTAAAGCATAGTCCATAAAGTCTGATATGACATGTGGTTGATTTAGGCTATGTCTCAGGGTGCATATGATGGGAGAATTTATCTGGGACTTCATGGTATTGGAGGAGAGTAATTGATTATGAAATGGAATATAATAATGTATCCTACTGTGACCCAAATTCGGAGTTCTCCTAAATTCGGCGATGTTTTGTTTTTTGTCATTCACACGAGGTTTCAGAGGTAAAGGTCAATCATGTTTATGTCCCATGGTCTATTTATTTTCTGAGTTAACGCTGGAGATATGGCTGGTACAGATTGATATTGTATATGACATGGAGAAAATTGTGTTTTACCTGATGCAATTTCAAGTTAATCAATACTTTCCTCTATTTGATTGATATTGTTGCTTAAAATAATTTGACAGTCGCTGTCTGTTATCTTACTATTTTTACTGCCAATCTAGGTCAACATACTACGTCACAATCCCATTGGGATATCTCATACATGTATACTTATGATGCAATTTTATCTACAGGCATTCTAGCAGGCTATTTGGCCAATCTTTCTCAAATCATTAAGAGATTAATACACGGCAGAGTAGGGCCGGAAGGTGATAATCGGCCCGCAAAATAAATAATGACCCCAAGGGCATTATTCATTTCAGGGCCGATTATCACCTTCTGGCACAACTAAGACGTGTATTAATGTCTTTAATACACTTGGTAGATCTTTAATAGTAGCATTATTCTAAAACAAATTCTTTGATATTTCTTTCGTTGAAATTCCTGTCTGTACTTCTACTGTTCAGTTACTTCTACAGAGTTGTTTACTTTTTATGTGTACAAAGTACACTAGAATCTAGAAGCAAATATTACTTTATTTTTTTGTTCGGAATGAATTTGTCGTATTATTTATTTAAATTTCAATAGTTAAAAAATGTGTTTGTACGAAATACGCTTTTTAAAAGCTCTCATCATAAAATCAAACGATTCATGCTAAAAACCTACTTTCACTTTTACAGTTAACTGTTTGATGACGTAAAATCTTACGTCATTGTTTCAGTTTGTGCACGTGCATTAGTTCTGCGGGCTGATATCTAGTTCTCGGCCCTGGGCCGCAAACTCATAATAAATCACGTGACACTCATAATCAGTTGAAATCATGGGCAATTTTGTTACTATATATAGTAACAAGTGTATTAAAATGCTTTTACATTTGAAATAGGGTTACTATTCTATACTGTTGTGTTTTACTTTTATCATAATCTCCTTTTTTACTAAGTATCAATTGCTCTGCACAGCAGACTTTATGTTAATTCATAATATTTATACTCCACTGTCAGAAATTTAGATAATAAACTCTTAAATTAGACTTAAGTTCTATTTTGTCAAAATTCTGCACTGTTTGGGTTTACAAGTAAAAAGAACTCTAACTAGCTCAATTATGCCTATGTGATTGATAGTGGTGGAATTCTCAATGATAAACATAATACCTGTAATTGACCCTATCAAAATTTATGTTCAGGATTATCTGGAGTACACAGAAGCAGACTGGCAGCAGTGATTTTTTTTCCTGTATTTTACAGCCGAATAAAAGCTGTTTCCCCTAGCTCAAAATAGGTATATTTTCCCCTAAAAAAGCTAATATTTTCCCCTGAAATGCCTTGTGCACTTCTTCATCAGAACCATTACTTAACAGCATCTGACTTATTACATCAGCTAGAAGACAGAAAGCTGTCCCTATAACCTCTGCTGTGTACCATGCATGTTAAATTAAATTGAAATTGAAAATTTTATAAAATGTGTGGGTAAACTCCATTCTCAGATGTTGGAATTTGATTTTCCCCTTTTCTGATTTATCGCGCTATATTTTCCCCTTCAGAAAGCCACAGGTTGTTTTGAAAATTGAAAAAAAAATCACTGGGCAGATTGCACAGACAGAATTTATAGATTTACTATTAGGTTTTAAATTTTGTACTGTAATCCCACAAATACAGGCCACTGATTTTATTTACACAATTTTGGAAATGGTGGTAGGTTCTACTGGAGGGAAGAACATGCAATAGTATATACAATTACCTTCACTTCTGGTTAAAACTGTTAATTTCATCTTAATTTTTGTTTGGTAAACTTTATATAACGTCATTATGACGTCATAACGTCACGACGTCATAAACTTCCTTAGCAACGTCAGTATTGATGTAATTAAGTTACTTTGTTGATTATGAATATACATTAAAGTGAAATATATTTATTTGGTGTTGGCGTGATATCCAGGTGGAACTTTTGAAAATCAGGATATTTCAGCCATGGTCATGATAACATGTTGTAACACAGATAACATGTAAACTATTATTTGAATCTTCAATATTTTTACTTTTCTTATAATCTTTTAACATTTTTCAGATTTCCTGAGTTTGATTTTCTTTAAATATTTTGGCTGCAGCCTTAAAATTTAAATGTTAACTCAATTTGGTTTACTTTAGAAATGCCATTTGTTATAATGATGACTCAACAGGGAAATTTTAAGACGTACCTAGAATTTATTGCATGGAAATTATTGCATTAGAAGTGGTGTTATCACCCTCTTGCAGATTTCCATAACACAATCTTAATATAGTAACCACAGGTAGCCCAGTCTATAGGTAATTCTTCAACTTCATCATGTTTTGTAAACAAAGACTCTATTTAAGAGGATGAAAGAGGTCTTCAATAAGACACCTTATCTTAATGAGTCTTTTCTTCAGTTTCCACAGTTTATTGACCTTTCACACAGTTTTAATGCTTTATACTAAAATTTCAAAGCTCCTAAAAATAAAAATGTCAGAATATTTGATAAGATTAATTGTAATTCATGAAATTTAAAATAATGCATTTATTGAAATAAATTAAATTTCTAAGTTTGTTGAGAAAATTTTGAATAACTTGCCTGGCTGTTACAACTTATCCCTAAACCTGGTGAATTTGTAAAATTTGGGTAATGGATTTACCTTGGGCTTGTTTTGAATTTGGAACAGTTGTTCTAATGTCTGAAGGATTCAAATTTATAATGAAATACAAAAGTTGAGTTACATGTACCAACAGAATAGTGCCTGTCTGACTATACAAATGGCCAATTACTGGCCTGGATCTATACTGTTAATGGTTGATCACTTTTAGTTCCTGCACTGAGGTTCAAACACCAGTAAATATAAAGAGAGTATAATTATATGTAAAATATTGTTCTTCACCTTACACTTTGACAGTCATTGTTTTGCCTTTTACTTGAAGCCACAGGTGTATATCCTGAAAATCTGATAACAGTTTAAATCTCACATCACTTTTTTTTCCAGTAAGCTGGAATTTGAAATATGTATAATTTTCTCTCATACAAAGACAACATAAACTTGGCATCAGTTCTTGAGATATCCCATTAATGCATGTGTCAGTATAGATTGATAAAAGAAATTAAAAATAAGATGCCTAGAGATAAGGGAATCAATTCTGGGTGTCTCTGTTCTAGGTAAATTTGAGATGCAATAACCTACCTTATGATTTACTTCTATTGAGAAAAAGGAATTAAGAAAAGATAGTAACTTATTTATAGAATACTGCCATTGTTTGTAGTGTATAATATTGAAGTTTAATTATCAAAATTGTATTGCATTTTTACATAATTATACAAAAAGGGTTGGGCCAAAAGTTTTTGCAACATTATTGTGGGTCCCTTATACTAGAGTATCTGAAGGGTAACTTGCATAGATTTAAGCAAATCAAAATTTCAATTTTAGATCATATAGTCTATCAAATTATCAATATTAAATTTTGTGTATGTTTCTATATTTCAAAAGTCAATGGGTTCTTAAATGTTGAATTTCCATAGAAACATAATTAAAATATTAATTTTTTTCTGACTTTTATGTTTTTCCTGTCCTTTGATGTTAATGTTTCAGCACTTTGGTAATTTAGGATATAAGGAAGATTCAGTGTTATTCTTTGTAACTTGCTGTGGTTGAGGCACCTGTCTATACATTACACTATCATATTTCTAGGTGGCCAACTTCATCTTTTTATTTTTCTTCAGCAGAAAGGTAATTCAAACACAGTCTATCATGTCATTTTCAAGCATTGCCTCATTTGATTTCATGTCTTTATTCCCCGTCATGGTGAAATTTTTTTCCCTTGTGGCTGATGGGTTCCCTTTAAGGCTTCAGCATATGATCAGAATGACAACTACCATAATTATATCCCTGCATGATCATAAGACTGGCAACTAAATGGGTTCGAGTTACTAGGAGTCTATGCATCTCTAAGCTCCCGTGGGCTTGGTGGTTTTGACCAGTGGTGTTGCTTTTAGTTTGTAACACCCGAGGTTAGCCAAAATCATCTTTCCTGTTTCTGCCCTATTTGGCCTGGATTATGTTGGTGTGCCGTAAAACCAAACAAACAAACAAATTGAAATTCTGTTTGATAGATTTGTATTCAGTAGCTGCTTTTGGAACATTTTCTTTTATTTAGGTCCCCCCTCTTTTTGAAGAATTTAAGAAAAATGCAGTAAATTTATTTTATAGTACATGTAATTTGCCTGTTAGAGAGAATTATTTTAATCTTTGCTTAATGTCTTTAAATGAAACAACAATAAATGATTTGGGGAAAAATAAGATATGGAAATGCTTGATTTTGAGTGTATTCCCTTAAAAGTAAACTAAAAGAGCAAAACCAAATATTTAGGGGAAGATATCTCTAAAAGTGAGATGTTGACCATGACTTTTTTTCAAAAGTTTGTTGTAATTGATTTCAATTTTAATATCAATCATGCAAAGTTATAAGATAAAAAAAATGCTTTAAATTCATTTAGGTTGCTGCTCTCAAATTTTCATGGGTATATAAAGAATTATAGGGAACATTGGTGCTGTAATAAGAATAAATGAAAGTAAAACATCAAAAATCTTAATCCACTTTCTAAAAATATCACATATAATATTATATAAATTTTCTTTTGGATTCATTGAGAAATCTTGTATGAATGAAGCACTGTCTCTAGCTGCTGGTCTATATATACATAGAAGCTCTGTGGTGTATCAGAGGTTCCTTTGTTGCAGGAATAATCTCCCGGATCACAAGTTTTGAATTTAAATATTCGCTTGACTGGTTCCAGAGTTAATTGTGTGCTATTTCCTGCTAGTGTAATCTAGGTCTGCAGACTGGGTTTCAAGATTATTTTTTTCATTTAGTTTATTATTCAGTGAGGATTTTATATAGAAATTCAAAATGTAAGTTGTATTTTACATAAAAGTTTAATTGGTTATTATTTTTGTGGTCTTTAATGACTTGTTTTATATATTTTATTTTGATCGTTTGGGATTAAAACATTCGTAACATAAGTAATTTGATTAAGATTTAAAACACCTTACTAATTGTAATCACTATTGATTTGGATTAAGTAATTAATAAATTACTGTATAGCTGTTTAAAATTTTAAATGCTATTTAAATTCCACATGGACTTTTGTTTACAAAATTATTACAGGGGTTCAATGTAAAATGCTGAATAATATTGTGACATATGGCCCTTTTTAGCTTTTTATTTGTGTGTTTGAATTTATTAGATTAAATTGTTTAACTGTTGTATATAAGAACAAAAAATGCCCTTTTTGTATATATATATATATATATATATACCAGTTTCCTTAGATAGTATATTTATGGACTGTTTTTAAAAAAACTAAGAAAAAACAATTTAGAGTTACATGTAACTCACTTTTAAGCATTTAAAAGCTTAACCTTGGCTATTGTCTGTATGTTTGTTGGTTTGAAATTCAGTCCTAATGCCATCCATCAAAAAAAAAGAGAAAAAAAAAAGAATTCTGTTTCTCCCAAAATTACAAAAAAAATCCAACCCCTTCTGAAAAGTTAGTTGACTAAATAAATATTATGTGTAATTAAGTCTTAATTCTAAACATAAAATACTTCTACAATAGTACCTGGTTTCCAATTTTGGTTCTGGTGCAAATCCAAAGTGCAGGAAATGCTGAACAAGATTTCATTATGAGGATAATTTTGCTGAACATTAATGTAATAATTTTCTGTTTTGAAAGCTCTTAAGTGCAATTGAATTCCCTTTTAGCTCAACTATTCCAAAGAATAGTGAGTTATATTGTGCTATTGAACTTAGAAAATTCAGCATTATCCAGGCTCTTATTTTACAATCAAGCACTATTGAAATTAGAAAATTCTACACTATTTATTATTAAGCACTGGGAATAGTTGAGCACACCATCCTACTGACAGCTCTTGTTTTGTCTTAAGAATATGTTGTGCCTCATACTCATATATATAAGTTGCAACTGTCAAAATAACTTCTAAAATATTCAGTTTAAGAAAGTTTTTCTTTTTCTCGTGATATATTTTTGTTGCTGACAAGAATTCGTTGTGAAAGTATAAATAGCTGCTTTAGTGGTTTGAGCACTACCATAACTATTTCATACTGTATATGAATTTGCCCTGCTTTGAATTTGGAAAAGTCAATTAAAAATTTAAGAGATTTTATGATCAGACAGGGCATCGGTGGTCAAGTAGTTTAAGTCACTTGCTCCTCTTTGCTGCGGGTAAAATTTTAACAGAGACTTTGGATTTTTGTGACGAAGCTATCCAGGTAGCATACAGAATATTGGGGGTTCCTATTTAAGCCTGAAATATTGCATGGAGTGGCACCTGAGGTCTTTCTCCACCAGTAAAACTGTGTTGGTGTGACTTAAAACCTTACCGGGGGGGGGGGGGGAAATTGGAATGCATTGGTATTTTATTTTTCAGATAACTGATCAGATTGAAATTTGTTTTTCAATCTTGATAGGGTTCAAGAGAACTAAATTTAACAAACTTTTAAGATGTTTCTTTGAAACAATGTGAGATGTAAAGAGATTTACCAGACAAAATTTCAACCAATCTTAAATCTTGCTCTGTACCTAAATTGTTGACTGGTCACCATGGATGAAATTGCATAAAATTTAAAAACTTTTTTGCCTTCTTGAAACTTGTTTAAACTGGAGCATCATTCCAAGTCAGCATTAAGGTTTATTCATGCCTTATTAATTTTCTTAACCCACTACTGACTCAGATTTTGTGAACGGCTTTGTTTAGAATATAAAATATGAGTTGCACATGAAAAAATAAAAGTCTGGCATAATTCTGACTTTTGGATGCTATTTTCAGAGTTACTACAAGAAATATTAAGATAGCAAAATAAATACCAATCTCATTAGAATCTGATACCTTCAATTAAAATATTTAGCATGCTTGGGTCAGATTGACATATGTGTGCCACACACCTAATTAACCCTACCTTGAGATCATCAAATATTTATAT